ATGTCCTTCATCTACAAAACTTCTGAAAGTGTGTATTCGACGCTCGAGCGTCACTTCTTGCGCTCGAGCTAAACATTGTGTCTGATGCTCAAGCGTCACTTTCCATGCTTGAGCTGACTATGTGTATAACAGATAGCAATGATGACTTTTTTCATCACTTTTTCACTTCTCTCTCTCTAAAACTATCCAAAATCTTAGATCTTGAGTTTCTCTCTCTAAAACTCATATTCTCTCTACATTTTCACCTAGATCCATTGGGATCTTCACCCTAGTGCCTTTGAGAAAAAGGTAGAGCATCTCAAGAGCTCCGTTTTGATCCGAGTAGAAGTTGGTTTTGGCATCTTTGAAGCTTCTCCTTTGTTGCTTTGGTCTTCTGAGCTTGAGGTAAGGATTTTTTACACTTTCATATGGTTTTTAACTTAGTTATTTGATGATTGTGTAACAATGGTAGGCTTTGGGTGTATTATGGACAAACTTAGTGTTTGGGTTGTAAAATAAAAAGAGGGGTTTCCAAGTGGAAATGGTTATGAGGGTGAATATAAGGTTATAATTTGACTAAATAATTGATTTTGGCCTCTCTTTTTTTTTTCTTTTCATTTTTTTTTTATAATTTTCAAAAAAAATTATTATTTTAATTATTAATACCTATCATTTATTTATAATTATTTTTTAAACTTGTATTCAAGTAAAATTTTCTTTTGTTTTTTATCCATTTTTTATTAAATTAATACGGTTGAAAAGATATCAAATGACACTTTTGAAATGAGTCTAATGTTAACTATATTTAATAAAAAATTAAAAATAAAAATTTAAGATAATAAAAAATTTGTTTTGAAGAATAAATTATATAATGAGATGTGTAGTTAGAGTTGGTATGAATAGTACAGTACTCTAAAACAATTTATTTTTAGGATATATTATATTGACCTCCTTTAAGATGTGAAAAAAATATAATAAGTTCTACAATTTTGATGTAACTAAATTAAACTCCCATGAAATTTAACATTTGGCCTTTTTTTTTTTTTTAATCAATAATTGTTAGTTATATATATGGGTGAAAAAAAATATGTTATCATATCTTTTATACGAAAACATATATTTTACGTTATTTTATTTTTGTGCTTTCGCACCATTTACATTAGTTTCGATCCATTTAATTTTATTAAAATAAAAGTTAATATAATTATGATAAAATAGTAAGATTTATTTTATTTTTTTTAAATCTCAAGAAAAGTCAATATAATTTATCGTTGTTTTTAATATCTAAGTGAATGCATAGAGACTGAAATAATAGAGTTGCGAATTTTGTTTGTTGCTCAAAAAATTATGCCTTGATGTGTGTGACAACTATGGCCATTGCAATTGTTAATTGGACATAGTAATGTTTTATTTGAAGTGGCCTGAGGATAGAAAACCAGATATTACACAGTTTGGCTCACTTTTTTCACTATCTGGCTTGGTCCGTTTCAGTGCTTAATCCCTCTTAACTCAAAAAATATGATTTAAGACTTTGGTTAAGGGTTTGTATCCACTCATAAGTCCGGTCTGTAAAAGCCTGTATGGGCAAGCTCAACTCGACCATCTCATTAATCAGTAACAATTGTTAAAAACGCTGCCTATATTAATGAGTAACAATTTTTAAAAACGCTGCCTATATTGTCCATTGAGTTACTTATTGGCCCAATTTTGAGTGCCTATTCATTTAAATCCATTATCATGAAATTAAAGAGAGCCCAAAGGGCTCTTTAACTCAAAAGAACCCACTGCCAAAACTTTTTAATATATAAATTATGTTACAAGCTCGATAGTCACAGCTGGAAATTAGACTTTTAGCGGCGTTTAAAAAACGTTGTTATAGGTATTAAAAACGCCGCTAATTCTTTTTGTGACGTTTAGTACCAAACGCCGACAACGCGACCGTCGCTAAAGCTTTATAGCGTTTGGAAAACATCCCTGTATTTAGTATAGGCGGTGTTTTTAAAAACGCCGCTAAATATCCTACCTAATGGTACTGTGACATCACTCTGGTTTTAGCGACGTTTTTAACCGCCGCCATATGTTTTTTTAACTTAAAAATTCCAACTGTTATAGTGGCGTTTTAAAAACGCCGTCTTATCTTTTTTTTTATTTTTGAAATTGTGCTCATTTTATGTGATTGAACTAAAAGAACACCTGTAATAAAACTAAATAGCACTAATATGAAATAATAACTCCCATTCAATTTAATATCCAATCACTATTACCCACAAAATAACATATCCAAAAATTGAATTCACAATTCTCAATCAAAAAATTATTACCTTATATACAAAGCCACAAAATAATATTACCCTCTTCTCTCTCACCACTCCCCCATTTAACACAAAAAAACAGAAGAAAGTGAACCAAGACACCCAACCCCCCAGTCAGATCAGAGGAAAAAAAGAAAAAAGAAGGGAAATAAAAATCCAAAGAATTTTAACACACAAAATAAGAAAGTGATCCAAAACACCCAACCCCCATCCATCCTTCATCATTATTCTAAATCGCTCTCCATGCTGCTTCCCATGGCCTTCAGTCTCTCGGTCTCTGCCAATCATAAAACATAATAATAATAAAAACAAAGCCAATAAAAGATGTGCAATGAATAGATAACAAAAATAAATATGAGAAGTTCAAGCTACTGAATGTTATTTTAAATAGTCATCCTTCCCAGTTTATAGCAATGCGGACCACATGATATATTTTCCTCATCTAGAAAGCTCCATGGAAGCTGTTTCTCAGCCTGACAATTGATAAATTACTGAATAAAAAGTCCTCAGAAATAGCAGACAACTACAATTTTTATAGCAATGATAACCAAAATCAAGCAACCAACTTACTGGAAAGACAAGATCCTGGGAACATCCATGCAGCCTACAATCAAAGAGCTGCCAACAAAAACAGCAAGAGTACAGAGGTAGTTATAGGACAATGGCACTAAACAATATAGAGAATTAGAAAGCATGAAGTGGTGCTTACAAGACATCGACGACAAAACATGTTGTCAAAAGAATCAAGAGCTGCTTCAAGATCTTTATCAAGAAATGAATTCCCAGGGCCCTCCACAGAATTCTCTCCCTTACTAAGAACTTCGTATATCTCTCCTGTATGAGATGTTTGATGGTGGTTCATATCTCTGTCAAGCCAGCACAAAACAAATGGGAAACAGCTGGACCAGAGTTTTCACTATGACCAGTTGTATTAGATAAAAATGGGAGAACTGAGCAGCACCACAGAAAAGCAAAAACATTTATTCAATAGACACTAAAATTAAGACCAACAAAAGTCTCACATGAAGGGCATACTGAATACCTTGATTTCAGAAGGTTTTCTGGAAAAACACTGCACCAGTGCGTCCAATGCAGCATCAGATAAACCAATTTCTTTGATGGTCATTCTAGAAAAACAAAATTGAAGGGATCAAAAAAGAGGAACTGCAAGAACATTCACAAATATTTACTTGTCTATGCAGTGTGCTAATAAGAAACAAATAAATAGCAGATAGCACAACACTAATAATTTCAAATCTCAAACATATAAATGTCAAAGCTAGATCATTTGCTAAGGTTTGTCAAAAACCTAGATTGAGCATTTAAAAATAAATAATAGATGTGAGTCTGTGACACATCTGCACTAGCTCAGGGAAGATTTTAGGGGGAAGGTATTCAAAATGCTTGAATAATGATCTGAAAATGCCTACATTGAATAAGAACAAGTATTTAAAAGGTGAACAGTGTGATGACTATTAAGTGAATCCACAATCTATCATTCAATAAGAGGTTTAAGTTGTATATTAGCTCTAGGCAATTTAAAGGAATAAATCCAGTTTCTGATACCCTTGTACTCCTTTCTACTAACAACACAACATCAATAAGGAAAGAAGTTAAATAGCCACTGCAATGTCAAATAGTTGTAAATTGTGAGATCTCGTTCCTATATTAAACTTTCACATTTTCTCTGGATGACTCATTTTAGATATATATTCGAAAGACACAAATAAGCAAGCAAACATGCAGGAAACATTTTTCACAATTTGCTCATGTTCAAAGACTCATCATGCAGTGCTACCATTGGAATTGTATGAATTCTGGATTTAATTATAGCAAACTAGGTTCCTAAGTTAAGAACAGAAGCTTTGGTTTTTTTTCTCCCAACAGGTAAGTAATTGACAACCAAAAACATAAAAAGGATGAGCAATTACAGACAAATTTTCTTTAACAGGTTGGGTTGCTATCAACTCTAATTTAACTCAAATCCAACCATCCATTTACCAAACTGGAAGCTCAAGCACAAAATTATATGCACATATACAAACATGAGAGAGAGAGAGAGAGAGAGAGAGAAATAAACAAATCGAATCCAGCTGTAATGCAGAGTTTATCTAAGTTACCCTTACTGGTGCAACAAGCCACCAATATGCTTACTTAAGGAACATGTTCAACTAACATCCAATAAGAATGTAGTATACTATTCATTAAAAAGAAGAAATATAGGAGAAAGTGAAAAACATTCCAAAGCACTTACAGAAAATCTCAGAAGAAGACATGATTTTCCAACTCCAGAATCTCCAATCAACAAAAGCTTGAACAAGTAGTCACTGCAAATGACAAAAGGAATAATAACCTTTTCATTTTAAGCTGAAAAATTACAAAGTACTTAACCAGGAAATACACCTTCAACATTTAATTGAATAATATAGGCCTATGGTAAATATAAAAAAACGAGTAATCATTTTCCACAAAACAGATATTTCCTGTAGTGAAGGAATGCTCATTCATTAATGGAAAAGCAAACATAACAACATAAGAAAATATACTGAGCTCCAACAGCAACCATAAGTTACTTATTTAGCAGTAGTACCAACATAAATGTGCAATGTCAATGAGGTAGTGCAATGGAAAAGGTGATGGTCAAACGCACCTGCATATATCACATATCATTTTCACCTTCCTTCTCCAGTTGAGTCTCTTTTTCAACCCACTCACATGGATTAAATGATACAATGATCCCATTTCCATGTATTCAGTCACCATGGACAGCCGAGGAGGCTTTGTGCAGGCACCAAGGAATAAAATAACTGCAAAAAAATGTATTATTTTCTTCATATCACTACAGTATAATTATTTCTGATATGAACATCAAAAGAAAAAAATTGAGTGTTTTTTCCATTCACAAATCCTATAGTGTAAAGTGTAAACATAATATAGCAGAGTTAAGTTGATCAAACAAATGCAGGGCATTACCATTTGGGTGGCGTAGACGGCTGTGTATGAAAAGAAGAAAAGAAAAAGAAAGAAAAAAGTCAATCGCATGGATAAGAACAAAGTGGAGGAGGGGAAATATGAGTTGCAAATAGATCAATTAAGACAAACCTTAGAATAGATATCTCATTGAAAAAGTCTTCGATGTTCTCAATAGTTAAATCTTGTTCAAGAAAAACTTTAATGGCAACATCTGTCCTATTCCAAATGGCACGAAAAACTTCTCCAAAAGACCCTAGAAGATTCAAAAAAAAAAAATTCTGAAAGTCAAGTACCTAACACACGGGTGGATAAGAATCTTGTGTTTCATAAATTGTCTTTTAACCCTTTAATTTTTAGAAGCTAAAGTTCTTTCCTCCCCTTCAAGTTTTTTTCTATTTTTATTTTTTATTTTTTAAAAATAGATCATTAAGAGTTGTATAAAAAATAACACTAGATCAAAACCTTATATGATTATAATCTCATTGGCAAAGCTAAAACCAATTTTTGACTAATTACAGGGCCATTTTGTCAATTTTTATTTTGGATCTTAGGTTTGGGGAGGGATTTGTTGGGATTTTTTTGGGACTCGAGAGAAGTTCAATGTGGTGGGTTTCATAGAAGCTATGGATTAATGCAAATATAGATAGGTATGCATGAAGGTAAATAGATGGATCAACATATGTTCATTGTGTAGTTGAGGGTTTCCATGCTATACAACCCAGGGAAAGTAGTCTACACAAACTCTCTCTGTATGTATATATGATTTTGTCTCTGTAAAAGAATATTGTTTCTTCAATAAACTCTCTCTTCTTAGCTTATCATTTATACATTGATTAGGTTCTTTAATCACCAAACCATATCTTCATCAACTGAATCAGAACTCTCTATTATTTGTTTCTTACTACCAAAAAATTTATCAACAACTCCGATCGAGATCGAATAACTTTTTTTCCTACTTTTCGCTTCTTTTTCCTTTCTTCAAATCCATAACTATAATTGTACAATAAAAAAATTCACACACATTCACAATCCACAATGTTTTTAGAAATTAGAGGACATCAAGAATTAGATTTGCCATTAAAGCACATAAATTAGAGACTTCCAATTAGGAACACAAAAAAATCACAATTAGGGCAAACTATATTCTTCCATTGAAATTTGTGTGTGTGTGTGTGTGTGAGAGAGAGAGAGAGAGACGGAAACGAAGAGTTTCAGAGAGACAGAGAGACGGTGGAGCTCACCTTAGTAGACGATGGTGCAGATGGTGGTGGCAGTGGAGCTTCGAAATCGAAACCGATCTGAATCTCTGCGAATGATAACCGTTTAGAGAGGGTTAAGAGAGAGAGAGAGAGAGCTCACCTACCTTGTCGATGCAGATGGTGGTGGCGGTGGAGCTTCAAAATCGAAATCGAAATCGAAATCGAAATCAAACATTCAGATGAAATCGAAATCAAAGAAGGCGTGAGGACTCAGATTCAAAATAGGCTTCGAAATTTGAGAGAGAATCACCGAAACATAAATTTTGAAATCGAAATCGAAAGAGATGAATCGATAAACAGATTCATTGAGGGATATTCAAAATCGAGACATTCTGTTTAGAGAATCAAAATCAAAATTAGGGCATTCTGTTTAGAGAGAGATGAATCGATAAATAGATGAGTGAGTAAGAGATTCGAAATTTTTACGAAGGCATTTTGCTGGAAGAGATTAGGGCATCTGTTTAGAGAGAGAGAGCGAACGAGAGACTGATAAGTGAACGAATTCACCAGCTTGCCCATATAGGGGAGAGGACATTTGAAGGCGCTTCTAAACGCCTTCAAATATTGAAACGGTGCCGTTTCAATATTAAAAAAACGACGTTTAAAAAATGCCGTTAAATATGACAAAATGTGACGTTTTATAAAATGCCGTTAAATAAACATCGTCAAAACTCATAATTCCTGTAGTGAGTTGATTGTATGAGAAACGTAAAAAAGAAAAGAAAAATAATAATGGAAATAGTTGAAATATGTTGGGAAGTAAAAAATGAAAAAAACAATAATAGAAATATTAAATGTTTGACTTGTTAACTAATCAAAGCCTAAGAAGTCCAGTCCATATATGGGACCTGGGAATAGTAGTTGCGCGCTGGGTAGGTCCAACCTGAGTCATTGATTACCCTTAAACAAGATGCAAATTTTGTATATGCATGGTGCAGGGTTATGTTAGAGTTCGGATCCTCTGGTGTGCGTTTTTCCTCTAGGGTGATGGTGCAATGCACAAAATGACGTCGTTTTGTGCACTGTTGACCACCCCTCCAAAAAAAAAAAAAAAGCCACAAACTTTATGCTACCAGCAGTTTGTTTTCAAGTCATCATCCGTCTCGCTTTTCCGATAATGTCACGGCTTCTCTCCGTCACCAAACTATAGCTTTCTCCTCAATCCCATCTCCATCTTAGCTAAAAATCTCTCAATTTCATATGTTTATCCCTTATCTACCCAAAAATTCACTCTTCATGCATACATATAATATAACATACATATATACTTAGAGAGAGAGAGAGAGAGAGAGATTGTTGAATTGAATTGGGGGTTTGGAGATGACGATGTTGTTAGAGGACATAGTTGAATCGGTGGAGCTATGGTTGAGCTTCCTTAAGAAAAAGCCACAGCCCTACGTTGATCCCGATCTCGACCCCATCCACTTGGTCCACGGTATCATCAGTTCCATACTCAAAGTCGTCGATGACAAAGGCAAAGAAGAGCGCATCTAGGTTCGCATTCTTAGCACCGATTACAAGTTCTGGACCAAGCTAAGACGAACACGACTGCGAACGAGGGAACTTCGAAGGTCACTTGCTCTCCATGCTGCTTCCCATGGCCTTCAGTCTCTCGGTCTCTGCCAATCGTACGTCTTCTCTCTTTCGTCTTCATCTTCGTTTCTCTCTCTTTCACTCTCTCCCCCACTCCCCTCTCTCTTTCACCAACTGTTAATGTAATTGTTTGGCTTTTTTTTTTGGAGGGGGGGAGCAGTGCACAAAATGACGTCGTTTGGTGCACTGCACTATCACCCTAGAGAAAATCTCTCCAAAGGATCTGAACGCATTATTTGTGCAATGTGTAGGTGTTATTTGTGTAATGTATTTATATATTCAAAGTGCAAATATTATGTGTAAGGCTTGTCGAGTACTTCATTCCTATAAAAATCGTGTTGATTAGATATCAATAGCCAATTGATCATGTCACATTTGTGTCAACGGTAAGTATGATTTTAAAAATAAATTGTTGACACAAATGTGAATTGATTAAATGGTTATCGATATCCAATCAACGTGATTTTTTGCACAAATGAAGTACTCGACAAGCAAGGAAGCACGGGTGCGGGTACGAGTACGGTACGGGTACGAGTGCGGGTACGCCGATTCGGCAAAACTCAAAAAAAGTACGATACGGATACGGCTACGGTACGCCGATATTTTTTTATTTTTTTTTAAATATAATTTTGATTAAAGGATCCAACCTACAAATTAAAATTAAATATCAAAACTAAAAAAAGAACTACTCATTTTCCTATAATTTAAAACCATTAAGCGTTAAAAATAATATTTGTGAAATCTCTCACTTTGATATGTTATGCACTGTGAATTTGTGATCATAATTTATTTTTAAAATCTTTCTTTTTGCTCATCAATTTGCTATTTTTATAGGGTGAGACCAAAGAAATAACAGGAGACCAAAGAAAGATTTAAAGTTAATTACCAACAATAAAGGAAAAAAATTCTCAATTGGTGCAGGTTGTCAATTGCAATTTGCATAATACATAAAATTGCATCATTCCCAACAACTACTAATCAACTAATACAGTATCAATTTTTAATGTTTTGTGCATAAACTTTAAAAGTTTGTTATGATTAAAGATGAAGAAGACTCACCGGAACTCCTTGCGTCGCCGTCGCCGGAAGGGAATGGCTGGGTCGCCATCGCCTCTTTGCTTCTATGTCGCCTCTTGGTGCTGTGTTGCTCAACTGATGAGAATAGGGCAAAAGTGATGAGATTAGGGCAAAACAAACTTCATTCGTATATATCATTTTTTCTTTTTCTTTTTTAAATTTTTCTTAATATTGCTCCGGTACCCCTCAATTCTCCAGAAAATTTGATTTCTGCCCCCAACGTACCCGAAACGCACCAAAGGCGTACCCATGCCGTACCCAAGACGTACCCATGCCGTACCCATTCTGTACCCGACCGAACCAGACGTACCTGACTACTTTTTGCCGTACCCGGTCCTCTTTTGCCGTACCCGGTACGCGTACCCGCACCCGGTAAGTACCCGGTACTCGTACGGCACTATTTTTGGAGTACCCGTGCTTCATAGTCGACAAGCCTTACACATTAAATGGTTCAGATCATCGATGTGAGTTTCGTAGTGGGGCCACAGAGGCCCAACAATACCATTCAGATGATTTTCTCAACAGGAGAGAAGCCCTTCCCTAATTGAAATTTGTAATAAGATATTTCTTTTTACCCCATCATCTACCTTTGTTTTCCTTCCACCTTGCTATATGTATCTTCATTTATTCTCTAATATATGTTTGCATTGTTGTTGATTGTTGGAAATCACATATACAAAATTGTTTACTAAGAGGGCAAATTGTGTCGGAGTATTGGGCCTAGCTAATTTCAGTAAGGCTTTCAAGTATGGGCAGGCCAGATAAATGTAGTTTGTATTTGGGCCAATTAGACAAACAAAGCTTAAGTTTGGACTAAGTAACGGTTTGTTGGCCGAATGGATTGGGCCAAGAAAAAGAGACGCGTGTGTTAGACCATGCATGAAGTGTGTCTGGTGGACATGTATGGATTCGGTTTGCGACCGGACAGAATGTGCTAGGTCGAAAGTCAGACTACGTGTTGTTGAGCGGTGTAAGTGTTAGTATATGCTTAGTTGCCTTTAGGTTGGAATGAGTAGAAGAATGACTAAGTAGCTACTAGAATGGAGAGCAATCGAGCAGATCGTTTGCTTGGCTCGGTTGAGGATGAGCGCTATCCTTAAAAGATAGACTCCTGGTGGGAGATGTTAAAGAGAATTAGAGTACCACTAGGATTCTACTGTGCAAAAGAATGCAAAAGACTTGGAGTTTGACCTAAGAAAGGTAATGCAATTATGAATACTCAAATGTAGAGATCTTTTTCCCCATATTGATTTCTAAAACCTAACTTAGGCATCAGAGGGATTTTTTAGCACCAACTAGTAAGCTCACTGTGTTCGTGTTGTTA